GTCCTGGGATTAAAGGTGTATGCCACCACCACCTGGCGTTACCAGGATCTTGGATCCAGAGCTTTATTAGAATATTTCACACAATATGCTTCCAACGTCAAAATGTTTCTGAGAGATTCCTAGGAAACAAGGCTGTTTTCTCTACTCATCAAGCCATCTGATCTTCCATCATTTGCTCTTTCTTGCTTCTCTACTTTGTTGCAAAGCTGCCTAAATAACAGCAGAATAAGAGCTTAGGGATAAGGAAACAGATAAGAGATGTTCACAGCCTTAAAAAGGTTTTTAAATTGCAAGGCCAACTCAATAAATTCTGTAGAGTCAACATTCAATCTCACTACGATACTTTCTCTAATTTTAGGATAGAGTGAAGAAATTAATTGGCCACTTCAAGGATTATTTTTTAATTGGCTTTGAAAGATTGAAAGCACTTGTGTCATAGAAAAAGTATCCATCAACGGGCACTTGTTTTTTTTCTCACTCTCAGTCATTTCCAATAAGAATATCAGCAAGGACATTTGAATGAAATACATGAGAAAAGCAACAGCAGGGAAAAAAAGAACAATTTACACAACTTAGATCCTCTCTTAAAGTAATTCTTTGTTGCCTTTCTTTCTTCTCCAGGCTTTTGAAACTTAAAGTTGTCATTTTGAAAGCATCTAAGACATATAAAATTATACCAACACGTTATGGAAGTCCACAAGGCAGCCAACATTTATTTGGGTCAAACCGACCTAGCCAACCTCCAATCTTCTGACAGTAAATCTTCATCAAATAGAAACATTCCACAGCTTTTCAGTCAAGATGCTCACGTACCTAGAAAAGTTAACCTAAACATCATTTCAAAAACTGAGGCTCTTTGACAAAGTTGACAAAACCATTCAATGGAAAAAAAGACAGCATCTTCAACAAATGGTGCTGGTCTAACTAGAGGTCTACATGTAGAAAAATGCAAATAGAGCCATACCTTATCACCCTGCACAAAACTAAAGTCCAAGTGGATCAAAGACCTCAATAAAAAACCAGACAAACTAAACCACTTAAGAGAAAAAGTGGGGAAGAGCCTTGAACTCATTGGCACAGGAGACAACTTCCTGAACAGAACACCAACAGCACAGGCTCTAAGATCAACAGTCAGTAAATGGGACCTCATGAAACTGAAAAGCTTCTGTAAAGCATAGGACACTGTCATCAAAACAAAACAACAGCCTCCAGATTGGGAAAAACCCTATATCTGACAGAGGGCTAATTGGGAAAGGATCTTTACAAACCCTATATCTGACAGAGGGCTAATATCCAGTATATATAAAGAACTCAAGAAGTTAAAAAGCAACAAATGAAGCAATCCAATTAAAAAATGGGGAATAGAGCTAAACAATGAATTCTCAATAGAGGAATATCGAATGGCCGAAAAACACTTAAAGAAACGTTCAGCATCCTTAGTCATCAGGGAAATGCAAATCAAAACGACACTGAGATCTCACCTTCCACCCATCAGAATAGCTAAGATCAAAATTTTGATGAGAACTGATAGACTAAGATCAGAAAGGAGAGGAGAACCTCCCCTATCAGTGGACTTGGGGAGTGGCATGCATGCAGAAAGGGGAGGGAGGGTAGGATCAGGAGGGGAGGAGGGAGGGGCTTATGGGGGGATACAAAATGAATAAAATGTAATTAATAAAATAAAAAAATGCAAAAAAAATAAAAAAATTTAAAAAAAGCTCAAGTGACAACACATGCGGGAGAGGTTGTGGAGAAAGGGGAACCCTCATTTACTGATGGTGGGAATGTAAACTTGTACAACCACTCTGGAAATCAATCTGGTGATTTCTCAGACAATTAGGAATAGCGCTTCCTCAAGATCCAGCTATACCACTCAAGTATACAACAAGGATGCTCAAGTATACAACAAGGACATTTGTTCAACCATGGTTGTAGCAGCTTTAGTTGTAATAGCCAGAAGTTGGAAACAACCAGATACCCCTCAACTGAGGAATGGATACAGAAATTATGGTACGTCTATAAAATGGAATATTACCCAGCAATAAAAAAAACAAGGAAATCATGAAATTTGCAGGTAAATGGTAGAAACTGGAAAAGATCATCCTCAATGAGGTATCCCAGAAGCAGAAAGACAAACACGGCATATACTCACTCATAAGTGGATATTAGACATAAAATATAGGATAAACCTACTAAAATCTGTACACCTAAAGAAACTAATCAAGAAAGAGGACTCTGGCTAAAATGCTTAATCCCATTCAGAAAGGAAAAGAGGATAGACATCAGAAGAAGGAGAAAACAGGGAACAGGACAAGAGCCTGCCACAGAGGGGCTCTGAAAGGCTCTACCCTGAAGGGTATCAAAGCAGATGCTGAGACTTATGGCCAATCTTTGGGCAGAATGCAGGGAATCTTATGAAACAAATGGGAAATAGTAAGTGCTGGAGAGGACAGAAGCTCCACAAGGAGAGCAACAGAACCAAAAAATCTGGGCACAGTGGTCTTTTCTGATACTCCAACCAAGGACCATTGATGGAGATAACCTAGAACCCCTGCACAGACGTAGCCCATGACAGTTCAGTGTCCAAGTGGGTTTCCTAGTAAGGTGAACAGGGACTGTCTCTGACATGAACTGATTGGCCTGCTCTTTGATCACCTCCCCCTGAGGGGGGAGCAGCCTTACCAGGCCACAGAGGAAGACAATGCAGCCACTCCTGATGAGATCTGATAGCCTAGGATCAGAAGGAATGAGAGGAAGACCTCCCCTATCAGCTGACTTGGGCAGGGGCATGCGTGGAGAAGGGGGAGGGAGGAGTTTACAGGGGAATACAAAGTGAATAAAGTGTTGTTAATTAAAAAAAATTAAAAAGATACTAAAAATTTAAATAAGTACATACATACATATATCAAAAAATCCATCAAACTCTTGAGTAAATTCATAGACCTATCTTTCCTTGTTATCATTGTTTTCAACCCAATCACAGATCTTCATCTCTGTTTCTAGACACAGCATCTTCTGTGTCTATCTTTGTATGAGATGGAGAAATGCTTGTTTCAGCCAAGATGGAGCAAAGCTGCTAGATTTTCCACAAAGAAAAATCATAAAATTGGATAATAGGAATAAATTGTGTCAAACACTGGATAAGCACCCGAGGATAGTAAGTACTGAGGGTAGAAACAAACTATATGTGTCCTGTGGTTTCTCCAGCAGTCAGGGGACAGTCTTTAGTCCAAAGGACTTGGAGATATAAGCAGAGTTGATCAGTCTGTGCACGAGGGGGAAATGATCAGAGTTTAGGGAGTAGAGATCTCTGGAGATATGGACAGGGTCAGTTTGAGCCTTTAGAGTCTTAGCTGAATGTGAATGGAGGGGCTGAACAAGGCCAGAGAGAGACCCATTAGAAAGATATAAGGAGAGTAAGCCATTAAGCTCATTGGGCCACTGGAAATCAGGAAGAATTATGGTGGTAAATGGTCAGCCAACATAGTGGATTAGTCTAGAAATTGGCATGTTTGCTACATTTGTAACTATGAGGTTTGATACACTTTACTGAGAGTTGTTATATTGTCAGGTTACATGAGCAGCTGCTTGGAAACCTGCAGACTGGCATATTAATGTTTTCCCTATTTGGTGCAGTAAAATACAAAAATAAATCTCTGCTGCTACTTTCACACACACACACACACACACACACTCAAACTGAGGCTGACTATACTGTCTGATCTTTGAATGATATCAAAATCACATCATTAATCTAAACAGCACTCAGTTTTGCAATAATAGCCTTCTGTGGAATTCCCAGATTCTGATGGTTTGAAAGAACTCATATAAGAAACTTAGCCTTTCTGGAAAGAAAATATGAGAATTTTAGAGACCCCAAAGCCATCCAGGAATGACAGATTTGCAATAATGAAATATTAAGAGAGAATCTCTTCTACCACTATTCAGACTCAGCTGCAAGGCAGACTTCAGTATGGGAAATTATAACCTTTGAACAAAGAAAACTGACCAGGCATAGTAGCACACACCACGTAATCTCAGTGATCTGGAAGTAGACACAGAAAAAACTCTAGTTCAAGGCCAGCATGGGCTATAAAGCAAGATTCTGTCTCTAAACCAAAACACAAACACAAACAAATTGGAATAAGAAGGGATGGGAAAGGAGGGAACCCAGGATGGGAGAAAAACAGATCTGTTAATTTGCCTCAGTACAAATTAATTTTCTGTTTCCCTATGTACAAAGCCCTGGGTCTCATCCCTAGCACCACATAAACCAGGCATGCAGATGGAGACAGGAGGTCCAGAAGTTTAAGGCCATTCTTCAATACATAGAAAATCTGAGGCCATTTGCAGCCAGCCTGGGATATATGACACCATTTCTCAAAAAATAACCAATAAATAAGTAAATAAACAAGTAATCAAACAGAAACAAATAAATGCTGTGTTTCCATGCCTCAGCATGCTGTTAGAAGTGCGAACCCAAGAGAGCGAAGGAGGAAGCTAGTTAAAAACTATACGCTCAAATAAGCCAGCGGACCTGTCTGACAAGTCCTTTAGTTGCTTTTCCCCTTCTTTAGCACTTTATTGGGAAACACCTTTTCCAAACACCTCCAGCTAAGAAAGCTGCTACTTTGGATTAATTCACCACAATGCTGCAGACTTACTTTCTTTCTCTGTCTCTGTCGCTTTCACATGAAAAAAGAAAGCCATCGAGGATTTAAAGGAATGTGGCTGAGTACTAGACTCTTGCTTCACTCTTTGAATAATTTGAGTATTATTCTTGGGAAATTATTATCACATTAGCATATTCTATAGCTTTTAGCTTCAGTCTGAAAATTACCAGCAATTACTGTTTGCCAGTCGCCATCTACAGGGGAAAAGCCACCTTTACATGAGAGTGTACTCATGGGTTTCTGAGAGACTGTATCCCGACCTTTCCAAAACCCCAAGGTGAACTTATTAAATCCAAGTATCGAGGGATAGGATATATTACCCAATACCTTATGCAGAAAATGTGTCAAAGAAGACAATATCACAAAGACCACGGTTCATGGGAACTCTTCATGGTGAGCATTGTTCTGTGGCATCCTAAGAAGGGGACACTGTCAGAGAGAAACAGGTACAAAAAGTCAAAAGTGAATGACGTTATTTACAAATAAATAACACAACTGTTTATCATGTTTACCATGGACAGCTTGTAAGGTTGTACCTATACATCAACACTCTCCAAGATTTGCACCTGCTCTGTTAACAATTCCAGAAAGTAATGTGTAAAAATTATAGAGAGAGATTCTGTATGGGGGTTACTATAGCTTTGGTCAGTGTCCTAGTTATCTTTGACTGTCAACTTGATATAACCTAGAGTCACTTGAGCCTCAACTGAAGAATTGCCTAGATTATACTAACCTATGGGTGTGTCTGTGAGGGCTTGTCTTAATTATTAATTGATGCAGGAGGGCCCAGCCCACTGCAGGCAGCACCATGCCTAGGCAACAGGTATTGGTTATATACAAAAGCAGGAGCTTATGAGTGAATTAGGAAGCATTATTCCTTTATGGTTTCTGTTTCCAGTTCCTGCCTTAATTTTTCTTAATAATAGATTGTGACCTGGAAATATAGGCCAAAAAAATACTTTTTTCCCATAAGTTGTTTTCTGTCATAGTGTTTTATCACAGCAACAGAATGAAACTAGAATGGTTAACTATTCCTTGTCATCAAGGATTGGTGTGTGTGTGTGTGTGTGTGTGTGTGTGTGTGTGTGTGTATTTCTTTTCCCCTGATAGAGTATGTATCCCTATGTAGCCCTGGTTATCCTGGAATTCACTATGCAGCCCAGCCTGGCTTTGAGCTCACCATCCTCCTGCCTCACTCTCATAACTATTGGAATTACAGGCCAGAACCATCATGGCTGGCTCCATTTTTTCTCTCCTGAAATATCTCACTACCCCCTTTAGGAGTGTTACTCTAGACTATTATTATAAAAATGAACACTTAGCGTGAAAAGCTCTATATAGAGCTTTTAAAAATTATTTCTTCAAAATACACTATGTCAAAGGTCAGGAATAATAACAGCGCATTACCTATTGTTAAATTGGTCTCCTGGAACATTAAGCCAAAGAATCAGGCCATCAGCAAAATCCATTCCTGATTCCTTTGCAGCCCTGCTCATACTGGATCATTATCATTTTAGGTATGATGCCTATGCTAGTATATTTTGGAACCCTGAAGCACCTTTAATTTGCATTTAATTTTATGTGAGCTGAAGCTCTGCCAACCTGAGATTCATATCCAACTGCCTATTCATTACCTCCAGTGGAATTTTATCTTCTCATCTCGGCCAAACAAGTGCTTTTGAACTCTTAATTCCCATCTCCTAAACCTGCCCTCCACTTCACACTAGCTCCTTCTCACCCAGTAATTTTCATTTCCCTAAGTATAGGCACCTCCACCCAGGAGATCAAGCTGAACCTATGAGTTAGCCCTCCATCCCTCTCCATTTCAATCCCTTCACCTCTAATACATATTCTAAACCCATTCACCCTTTGTTGCTACCTCCTAAGTCTAATCCTCCATCACCCTAACTTGAATCACTTTAGAAGCTTCCTTAACTAGCCTTTTCTTCTTCCATCCTTACCCTAGATAAGTGCCAATGTGATTTAAAAGAAACTTTTGCATATTTTTTTTCGAGACAGGCATGCACACCATAGCCCAGGTTGGCCTAAAATTCATAATTTAACCCAGGCTGGCCTCAGACTCACAGCAATCCTCATATCCACAGTAATGCCTCTTGAGGGCTGGAATTACCAGTATGTGCCACCATGCCTGACTTAAAACACCCTAAGCCAAATCATGTCAGATATATGCTCGAAACCCTCCAGTGGCTTCCAACCATGCTTTAAAGGGAATCAAAGCTTCTCACCTTTGAAATATGGTTTCTGCCTGCTTCTTTCAATGCATATCACCTCCTTGTCCCTCCTGAAATTCCTCTCCACCCCAGTCCCATTGTCTTCTTTACTGGACACAGGTGCATTAGGCACAATGCTTACAGCTTTTGCCTACCTTCTTTGCTTTTGAGATTTGACTCAAATGTTGTCTCCTCCTCAGAGATGTTATTCCTAAACAGCATTTCAAGGCCAATAGTGCAATGGTAATGTAGGCTAGCATGCTCTTTTAGACTAGAGCTATTAACACTAATGAACACTGAGAATAATTCTGGTATACCTGCAAATCACCTATTCCATTAGATACGTTGGGGGCTGCAGTGATGTGGTGTAATGAGTTTACCCTCGAAGAACTGAGTCTAAAAAGAGACATAAATCAGGACAGGTAAGTGGCATTTGATGCAGAAAATGCCATAAGAGGACTAGAACACTTTGCACAGCAGACTAGCAATGATACTATTAATATCTGTTCCCATGAAATGAATGTTACATTTCTTGAAAATATGCTTTGTAGGTTTTAAATGCATATCAAGGTTTTAAAGGCATATCAAGAGCAATGGTATATGCATTAAGAACAATTTTAGTTATCATAACAATTGCCCTAAAAAGGCACATCCTCACTATTTGGTAAGTGGAGGGCCAACTAATACTAAATGCCCTGCAGTTCCAACACAGACTTGTACCATGTTATCAAATGCCAACAGAGAAATGGCTTGTAACTACCTAGAACATGGAGTGCTTTCAGGAATAAGAAGATGGTTCAGTGGGTAAGGCACATAAGAAGCAATCACACAAGTGCGATGATGTGTGTTCAGATCCACATAACCCATGTATACCTGGACATAGTACCATGTGTGTATAAGCCTGGTACTCCTACAGTGAGATGGGAGATAGAGGCAAGAGACTCCTCAAAAGCTCAAGGACCAGCCATTCTGACAAATACAATAGTAAATAACATGAGACTGTCTTAAAACAAGGTAGAAGCGAATCCAGGATATCCAAGGCTACAGAGAGAAACCCTGACTCAAAAAACAAAAACAAACAAATAATAATAGCAGTAGTAGTAGCAGCAGCAGTAGTAGTAAAGGTAAAAGCTGAGGACTGATACCTGCAGTTGTCTTCTGACTGCCACACGTGTGATGTGGCATGCATACTCTCTTCTCACACACATGAATGTGTAAATATCATCATATACATACACGCACACACAAAAGATTTAAATGCTTTCAGGGATTTCTAGGTTAATAATTTTTAGCATGCTATTCTTTAAATTTGTTTTTTGATATTATAATTACATCATTCCCCCTTCCCTTTCCTCCCTCTAAACTAGCATGCTATTTTAATTGTTTTTCTTCTGTTTTTACTCTAAACTATGTTTTTTAACATTTTGAACAAGATCCAATATTCATTCAGTATGCGACAGAAAAAAAAATGGACTCTAAGAAAAGAATAAAGATTCAACAAAATGTGTCATAATATAACAGGCTTTCAGTCCCAGGCCTGAGGGGAGCAGTTGCCTTTGGATGACGCTCAGTCCCTGGCAGGCAGCTCTTCCACAGTGATATCTGCAGCATCCCTACATGCCAGGATTATGTTCATTTCACATATACAGTGCTGTGGGAGGTGAGCCAACAATTTCCTGATCACACAGTAACACAAAAAGAGAACCTAGAATTGGAATCTTCTAGATGGGTTTTTCTCCCCCATGGGTGAAAGTCTATGGACTACAGGGCCACCAAAAATGAGGCACACAGACTGGACAAGAGAAACTGTACTCAGCTCCCCCAACTAAAGGAGTCCATTCTGCAAAGCTCAGTCTTGTGTGGGTGAAACAACCCACAACCTTCTAGAATTTCAAGATAAGCTAAAGATATTGGTTTTTACTGAGATCTTCATCTTTCCAATGTTGACCTTCCCCCCAAATTCAATTGCTTTTTCAAGTAGTATATGTTGCTGGGCATGATAGCTCACACCCTTAATCCCAACACGTAAAGGCAGAGGCAGATAGATGTCTGTGAATTCAATACCCTGTCTGAAAAATCAAGTCAGATAGGCTAGAGTTGGCTTTCAAGGTTCCTAGCTTCCTCTTCTGGGCCACTAGACCCAAGAATCTACTCAATTGCGTGTTTTTGGCATTCCCTAAGGATTTAGGAATATCAAAACCAGTAATTAAGTACACTCATACCTGAACAAGATCCTCAAAAAAGGAGGAGACATAGGCTCAAGGATCCAGGTAAGTCACACCAGATAAATGACTTTATTTTGTCATATTCTTTCTTGCTCAAAGATTCTCAACATGCCAGGCCAAAGAGAAGGCTCAGTGTGTGGGTAAAGCCATCTGTCAGGCAAGTGTGAGGACCTGAGTTCAGATCTCCAGAACCTACATAAAGCCAGGTGTGGCAGCACATATCAGTAATTCCAGTGTCCCTGTAGTCAGATGATCTCCCGAAGCTCCCAGGCTAGCTAGTCTGGCATGCCCAGGTTTAAAACAGCAAAAAGACCCTATCTCAAACAAGGTGGAGGTGAGGAAATAACTGAGGTGGTTTTCTGGGCTCCACACATTTACGGTGACATGCACATATGTCCACACACAAGATAAATAATTTCTCAGCATCCTCCATTTATTAACATAGCAACTCACACATTCCCCTAAAGGCCCTTAAAAAAAAAAAAAGACCCACCCCACCTCAACAGCCCTAATGTGTATCATACCTCTAAGCTCATTTCCTTGAGGTCTTTAAAGGATGCAGACCCCCTCAGCAAATAATCCCCTCATACAAATCTTATCCACATGTCAAAGCTTTCATGAAACCTTTATTGTGACAGAAAAAAAAATCAACAACAAAACTGCCTTCAAGCTCAAGTATTCCTGGGTTTAAATGGAAAGTAGCTAAAGGGTTTTTCTGGGTCTGTTCCCTCTTTGTACTGTAGAAGATCCATGTAGACCTTTATCCAAAATGTTTGAGATCATAAGTGTCTCTATATAAGGATATATCTTGAGGGTAAGACCCAAGTAGAAACACAGGGCTTATTTGTGGTTCACATGCATGTTTTATGCAAGGTAATGTTATACAATATCTTCAATGCAGCTTCATTTTACAGCATATGTGGACTTTTTGATTTGTGTCATCATGACAATATTCAAAATGTTTCAGATTTTGGGGTGTCTTAGATTTCCGATTTGTGGATTTGAGATATTCAACCCCTAATAGTGACTAGCACCAATACTGCAAGGATTTTCCTCTTGCCTTTTATGTGTGTATAAGACAGGGTTTCATGTAGCTCAGGCTAGCTTCTAACTATCTAGCCAAGGATGTCCTTAATCTTTCTGAGTCTCTACCTGAGTGCCAGAATAACAGGCATGAGCCACCATGCCCAGTCTGTTCTTGTGTGTGTGTGTGTGTGTGTGTGTGTGTGTGTGTATGATTTCTGAAGAATCACATGAAGTGATTGTATGATAAAGTACTTAGCCCCAAGTAAGCATTCAATTAATATAAGTTCTTATTAATACTATGGGTATTCAGTTTTCACTCTTCTTCCTTTATGTGTCCCAGTCCTTATACTGCCCCTTCTGAGAAATACCCCCTGGATTCCATGCAGTCCATGTTTGCTCCAACTGTGATCCAGGTATTAGTGTGCCTCTACCTGAAGCTGAGCTTTTAAGCTTCTTAGAAGGCCAGGGGTATATTGAAAACAACAAATTTTTAGCTCTCAATGAACACTGAATCAGAATTGGTTTGGTTTTGGGTTTTGTTTTTCAAGGACAGCATTTCCCTATGTAGCTTTGCCTGTCCTGGACTCGCTTAGGAGACAGACTGGAATTGAACTCACAACAACCCGCCTGTCTCTGCCTCCCACCACCACGCCTGGCTGAATCCAGAATTCTTTTTTCCTTTCTTTATTTTATTTATTTGTTTGTTTGTTTTGGTTTTTTGAGACAGGGTTTCTCAGTGTAGCCCTGGCTGTCCTGGACTCATTTTGTAGAACAGGCTGGCCTCACAGTGATATCCTACCTCTGCCTCCCAGAGTTCCGAAAGTACAGGCATGTGCCACCACAGCCAGCTGAATCGGGATTTTTAAACTACTACCACTAACAAAATTCATAGCACTTGAGAGGCAGAGGCAAGTGGATCTGTAAGTTCGAGGACAGCATGGTCTACAAAGCGAATCCAGGACAGCCAAGGCTACACAGAGAAACCCTGTCAAAAAAAAAAAAAAAAAAAAAAAACCTCTTCTTTCAGCTACTGATAATTAATGGCTTCTGATAGAGGAAGAGAGTCAGTTTTCTTTAACAGTCTACCATGCTGCAATGGATGGCCCCCTACCCATGAACATACAGGCAGCACAAACTGGACTAGATGGGTTATTTTTTTAAAAGAGGACATGATGTGTGTGGGGGGGTGCTCTGAGAAGAATTAAGGGAAAGAATAAGGGTAAATATGATTAAAATACTTTGTATGCATGCATGACATTCTCAAAGGATTAATAGAAATATCATTTCTTTAGAAGGATTCTATAATTGTAATTAAAATAATATTGCTTTTCTTCCATCCAGAGGAAGAAAACAAAGGTTTCTTCCTCTGGCAAAGGCAGGGGTGCATGCTAGGAAAATAAAAGTAGAGAGCTTCTTCAATCTCAGTCTCTCACTCTCTCCCCCTTTCTCCATCACCACCATTTTGTATTGCCTGATCTTCAAATCCACATTCTCTAAGCTCCAAGCCTCACCATCTCTTCTGATATAGGAGATGATACATGTGGCATGTAAAAGGTTACACTTTACCTGACCGTATGATACTAAAAATAGTCAAGTGGGCTATACTGTTTGATCTCTGGTTAAGAATAAATAGAAAATCTTGGATCCACCAACTGCAGAAAATGATTCCTGTGTGTCCTACCCTCTACCTTATGATTCTTCTTCAAGTCAGCCCTATCCATCCTCTTATGCTTGTAGCAGCTGGTATTCCCTGGGCACTGATGCCTGGAGGCTTATTCTACTTTTCTGTGTGCTTTACAAGAACTGAAGTAAAAAAAAAAAATACTTTCACGAAAGTTACCCCATCTTTTTGAAAGGGCATACTCCACACACAGAAATAAAAAAGGAGCATAGAAAAATGTGGCTGCTAGAATCTTATGTGCAAAAAAAAATAAATAAAATAAAATAAAAATTAATTTTGAGCGATCCCAACTATATTCACAAATGAAAAGTCATCCTTATCAAAAATACTGCACAACCATAATTATTTCAACGGTATGAGGTCTCAAAGTTAGATCTGAGACAGGTAGAACACCAGGCAAAATGTGGCACCATCTTTGAGACCCTGTGGCAAATAAAAGGCCCAGGTGGTCCCCATGCTGGAATCCAGGGTTCTATTCCACACAAGTTTAGAGTTAGTAGCTTTCAAAAGTGCTTAGGTAGGGACTCGCTTCAAATAAAATCACAATAAGCAGGTGATAAATATAAAACAGGCACTAGTCCCAGTGACCAATATGCTCAGAGACAGCAGTAACCACAGCATGAGTCTTCCAACTTGCTTCCTTCCCTGAAACTTCTGCCCATCTACCTAAACTCAAGACTATGCATTCCAGAGGCTTTGAGGGTGACCCTGCTTTCTTGGTTAAATTAGAAACATTTTCATTCCATCCATGCTAGGAGCTGTGCAATGCCCTGGTGGTCAACAGCAGCCAAGGGCAGCGAGTCCTTGGTAGTGCTTAACTGGTAAAGGGGAGCAAGGTTGAGAACCAGACTCCTCGGCTTTTGCATCCTGCCAGAAGGACATCCTTTGGCTTTTTCCTCGGTGCACTCTAAGGAAAAAGCTTCCAGTGACTTCAGCTGCAGCAGTGGCCACAGCGCCCCCTAGTGCGGCCCCAAAACCCGGGAGAGCAGCGAATGGACCCAAGGGGGAAAGCCTAGAGGCATCTCTAGAAAACCTGACTCCAGATAGAGCAGGCCCGGCTACCCAGGTCGTCGTCAAAACCCTTCCCCAGTCCTAACTCAGGGTCCAGCGAGGCCCTGCCTGCCAGGCACCCACACCTCAGGTAGGCCAGGGCGGCCGACCAACTCGGCCGCCGAAGGACGCTGTCCCCCTGGTCGATTACCGAGCGGGGGCCATTTACCGGGCGCCTCGGCAGCCTCTGTACCTCCACGTTAGGCTCTGCTGGAATAGAGGAACCACCACAGCTCCCGCCGCCGCCGCCTCCCTCCAACCGCCGCAGTGTCAACCGTCAACACTCACGATCGCCTCGCTGCGACTGCTACGGGCGAGGCCAGCTGTTGAATGGCTCAGGTCGCGACACGGACGCGTCCTCGCCACATCTGAGACGGCGACGCAGGCGTGCGTGCTCCCGCCCGCCAACGCCCCGTGTGGCCCTCGCCCCCTACAGGCCCGGTGGACTTCCTGGTGGCTGCTTCCTGGATCCGGGCTGGGGACGACAGGGGTGTAGGCTCCAGTGCCTACCCTTGCTTCCCTCAGTGGGCTCTTGAGGAAGCAACCGCCCCCCTCCCCTTGTGAGCTCCTCCCCGTTCCCTGCCATCCCTCAACTTGCCTGCGGAACCAATAGCAACCGTCGCCTAGCCACACCCCTTGGGTTTCCCCAGGGCCAATCACCTTCTCCTGAACCACCATTAATGCAGCCCCGCCCCTCCTATGCTGCAAAGCTACGGCCAAAGTTACAACCATTGCGAGGTTTAGACCTGCCCAACGTTTTGTCCGGGTTACTCACCGCCCACCTCCCTGCCCAATTATGTAATTTAGAGACTGCACACACCACCACCACCACTACCACCACCGCAGACATCCCACAAGCTATTTCTCTTTTTCTTTCTTCCTTCCTTCCTTCCTTCCTTCCTTCCTTCCTTCCTTCCTTCCTTCCTTCCTTCCTTTCTTCCTTTCTTGGACAAGAGTTTTTCTCTGTAGTCTTGGCTGTCCTAGACTTGCTTTGTAGACCAGGCTGGATCCGAAGCAGGCTCCATGGGTTATTTCTTTCAAAGAAACTAGTTTAAGAAAGCTAGCCAAAGTTCAGTGTCCAAGTGGGTTACATAGTAATGGGAGGAGGGGCTATCTCTGACATAAACTGATTGGCCTGCTCTTTGATCACCTCCCCCTGAGGGGGGAGCAGCCTTACCAGGCCACAGAAGATGACAATGCAGCCACTCCTAATGAGATCTGATAAACTAAGATCAGAAGGAAGGCGAGGGGGACCTCCGCTATCAGTGGACTTGGGGAGGGGCAAGCGTGAAGACCCTTGCTGCTCATTCTGTCCTAACTAAATCTTCACCTCTACTTGATGTTCAGACACCCACCCTCTCTACAAAATTGCCACAGGGCCTCTTAACTGGCCAACTTGCCTCTACAGTTTTATGCTCCTAGCTGGGAAAGCTCTCAACCCTCCTTTCCTTGTCCATTTCACAGCAGAACCCACAACTCTGGTTCTCAAATATAATAGGTTCCCCACACTGCATCCTAACTTAAAGGCCCACCACAGCTGCTAATGTTTTCCCACTCCTACTTGCCCCCACTGCTCTTAGAATAATGTGCAAACGCACTGCAATGTAAAACACTTGATAACCTGTTCTCATCTGCCCAGTCTCATTCCTAGCTATCCTACTGCAGTCTCAAAAGAGTCTATATTTCAGATAAACTAGCATTCCCATTGTTTCTCCAGTGAGCTACATTCTTTCTCATGCAAAGTCTAGAATAACTTGATCCCTATTCTCCTCTGCCTGACCTACAACTCAAAGATATATCTTTTTATTCACTGTGCAAATAGGTGCACATATACAAATATGTGAGATGACAACTCACTGTGTTAAATCCTTGGAGGTATAAAATGTATAAGATTAAAATAATGTATAAGATTTAGAATTGAGTACCTTCATGGTTTAGTTATGATTTTGGTTGTGCACTGATTTTCTTGTAAAATACAAACAAATACAAATGTGAAAGAGTGGGTGACTCCATAAGGAGCTCCTGAGTAGGGTATAGGTAATAACCCTGTTTCCTTAGCATTGGCAAACAGACATGAAGGCTTCTTATTGGTTTTGGTTAGTGGGGGGCTGAATTAAACACATGGCTTCACACATGCCTGCCAACCACTCAACTACACACACACACACACACACACACACACACACCAGACAGCTAACTGGAGAAATTGTTTTGGACTTCAGATATGACCAAATGAACGAAGAAGTGAGGAAAAAGAACTAGTTTTTCTTTCTCCCTTGTTGAACACTACTGAATGATAAGTAAACTCATTTCACAAAGTTTAGCAATTTGAAGGCTAGAGATTATGGCCTTTCTTCATATTCAGCCAAAATTTGAAACCCCAAGTTATTAAAATTGGGGTTTTTTTTGTTAATTACCTCACTTCATTTTGTGAATCAGATCAAATAAGAAATTGATAGCATACTGTAGCTGTTAATGGTCCAAAGAACAAGCACATGAACAGGAGTGTACGTTGTCAAAATGAATCAATTGCAATCCTTAAATCACAGTGCTTTAGTATTAAATAGGATTTCAAAATTAACTTTATCAAACCTTAGATGCTTGAACTATCACTGTGTGGGCAGATTTTCACATTCCACCAAAGTTCTTAGTTCTTTGGCCTCTAAAAGCATGCTTTGTTGTTACTCTTAAAACAAATGGAATCTACAGAGCTGAGTGTGCCACATCTGGAGTAATTTATGAGGTGCCCTGGATGTTCCTCTGTCCATTCTTTTCTTCTCCATAGTTTGGTATGTTTCCTTTCCAAATGCAAATCCCACTTACAAAAATCACATACTACATTTGCTAATTATTAACATCTAGCATAAAGAAAGAAACATTGCTTCATGGGAAAAATTAAAGGTACTTATACCACATCTCAGTTTTCAAAGTGTTTTCGCTTCTTTTAGCATAATAACCTAATAATAATAATAATAATAATAATTTATGTATATATTATATATATATATAATGCAAATATCTTGCTTTTCGTTTTACAAGGAGAAAAGCTAACACTTGTGTAGGTAAGACCATTCCTTAGGGTATTTTAACTATTATTCTGCCATTAACCTTAGGAAGGGTGACCATGCTATTCTAGAATACAGTAGCTATGCAAGGATCTTTTCAGGTTTGTCTATAATCAATTTACTCTTGCTTCCTGAGAGAGAAATACAGGATGTGGGGGAGGAGGTTAGGCATTTTAATGGAGACAGGAAATCACTCTGGTGTCAGCAGTACTTCTAGATAGAACATGTTCTGGTAGAATGGCAATGCAGATGTCACAGAAACAGTGAAAAGCAAAAGGAAAGAAAATAGGAATATCAGCCAAGAAACTCTGAATTCAAAACTCACCTGTACCACTGCAGAGCTGAACAAAAAACTATAACTTTTTTGCCTTACTGACTGAAAAGCCTTCTAAGCACACTTTGATTAAAGAGTGCTTTGGCAAACTATTTGCCCGTATTCAGACAATAGTCACCAAAATAAATTATATTTAACTATCTCTTAAGCATCCCCTGCTTATTCTGTGTAGCAGTACAGACAGGTAAGAAATTGGGGCCTAGAGACTGGAAAGATGGCTCAGAGGTTAAGAACACTGGCTGTTCTTCCAAAGGTCTTGAGTTCAATTCCCAGCAACCACATGGTGGCTCGTTACCACCTATAGTGAGATCTGTTGCCTTCCTATGGAGCACAGGCACACATGCAGACAGAATGCTGTATAAATAATAAATAAATACATCTTTAAAGAAATCAGGACTTAAGTGGCTGCTGAGATGGCTCAGTGGGTTAAAGATGCCTGCTTGCTGCCTTAGCTTGAAGACCTTGGTTCCATCCTAGGACTCACATGGAAGAAGGAGAGAACCCATTCCCATGAGTTGTCATTTGACCTACACACACACACACACACACACACACACACACACAAGAAAATGTTGAAGAAGAAAGAAAGAAAGAATGAAAGAAAGAAAGAAAGAAAGAAAGAAAGAAAGAAAGAAAGAAAGAAAGGAGAAAAAGAAGGGCATTGCAGCCTAAAGTCTTCATTTGGCAGGAATATCAGTAGGTCAATATTACTTTATGTAAGTCTCCAAGTGATAGGCACTTCCTTTTCCACATTCATTCATTTACTGAGAAGGGTGTATGAGCTCTAAGATGCAGCTAATCAAACACAATGTATTTGCTTAATCTTAAAAAAAAAAAAGGCTTTCTGCCTGATATAAAAGGAATCCATGCTACCAGGTGAGAAGTGATCTTCAGACTGGTTGGACTAGAAACTGAAAGCTAATTCCTGAAATAATAACCCTACTTAATAGTCTGTTCTTTTGAGAGTGATTAAAAACATTTAATTATAGTGGAATCAGTTCCGGCTTACACACATTTAATCACTTTGCAGTAAATGGCTCTAAAGTCAGAATAAATAATGCTAACCTACTTCACTGAGTTTTTACAAGATTTACTTAATTAATATTAAGGGTTTCACAAGTCTTCTTTAACAGTGGCCTAGAACTCTGGAGAGTCACATTTTGGTTAAGGTTCTGCCTTCAGAGGCTGTGTAACATACAGTGATTAATTTAACTTCCCTGGGCTCATTTTCTCTATCTGTACAATGAGGGAGAATTGAGTCAATAACTATGATTCTTAGCCTGTGGGTTGAGACCTCTTTGGGGTTGAAGGACCTTTTCACATACATGGTGGACTAAGACCACCTGTATATCCCAGCTGCATAACAGGTATTTATGTTATGATTCATGACAGTCACAAAATTACAGTTGTGATGTAGCAACAAAAAATAGGGTTGGGAGTCACAACATAAGGACCTGTATTAAGGGGTCGCAGCATTAGGAAGGTGGAAAACCACTGGATACTTTTGAATCTAGCATTCTAATACTCTAGACCTCACCATCATCTTATACTTTCAGTAGCTGAAAACTAGTGTTTTCTAGTGTCCCAAACTGGGATTCCTGAATTTTTTTCCAGAATGCCTTATCATCCCTAGACAGCCAGTTCAACACACTGAACTCAGCAAAACTATCAAATTAAGAACAGAGCACAATGGCATTCGAGGTGTGGTGGTAACACTTAGGAGGCTGAGACAAGAAGATCAAGTGTTTGAGCCCATCTTGAACTACACAGCAAGGATCAGTCTCAAAAAGATACTAATGCCAGAAACATTCCCTGCTCCCCAAAATAAACAAAGTTAAAAGAGTGGTTGTTTTTGTTGTTGTTGTTGTTGTTTTGTTTTTAAGGATACTAATGTGCAGAGCTCAATGGCACACACCTGTGATCCCAGCACTCAGAGAGGCAGAGGCAGGCAGATTTCAGTGAGTTTGAGGCCAGCCTGGTCTACCAAGTGAGTCCAGGACAGTCAAGGCTACACAGAGAAACCCCGCCTAAAAAAAAAAAAAAAAAAAAAAAACAACCAAACAAAGATACTAATGCTCTCATCCCTGTCTCTCCATTTTTTTTTTACAAAGAACAGAACACA